GTCAGTTTGATTTCATATTTTTCTAAAATTATACATATATATGCAAATTAAACGTCCTTCCGAAGCGGAGAACGAGATTTCAATTTCGGTGACCGACAACTTCTTACGAGCAACTCCACCATAAACGAATTTCTTTCTAGCGCCGACAGATATCTGAACTTTTTTTTCCAAACTGTGATTTACAATCTCCGTATGTCCATTTGTTTGTGGGTGTGCTACTGAGCCGAACTGAAGTATTATGTCAAGCCTACTCCATAAGATCCTCCAGAAAAGGATCAGAAATTTCACATCTCTTTGAAGAAATGGTCTTGAGTACGCCATGAAGACAGATTATCACCCTAAATTATAAGTCAATAATTTGTGATATGTCCATCCTCTTGTGGCAAGGAACAAAATATGTCATCTTAGATGAGTGCTCTGCCACTACTATAATAGAATCCTTACTATGCCACGTCTATGGCATACCCATCACAAAGTCCATTGTCAAATCCTACCAAAATGCACATGAAATCAACACACACAGATGAAGCCATCTGCAACATTATGTATCCTTCAAAACTTCAATATATTTTGATGAAAACACAAGTGAATTCTTAGGAATGCACAATATGTTTTGATAGATATACTCATGGGATTTGTGGAACTGCTTATATGGTATGTCCTGACAATGAACCCAAATCTCCTGAAAATTCTTGTCAATGGCATATGCATCCTTCAAAACTTCAAATTCACATACCTTAAACTGCATGATATAGATTTGAATCCTTTTCTTGTGCTTGAGTACAAAATGAAACAATGAGAGGAATTCTACCGATGAGACGTGTCTGCCCTTAAGCTTAACTGATTGTTCAATAAACTCAGGCCTCGTGGTCACTGTAGAGAGTAGAATTTTTCGACAGTGAATAATGAATCCAATGATTAAGAGTTTTCAATATGGCATAAAATTCTTTGTCGTAAGTAGAGAACTTTCTCCTTAAATCATTTAGCTCCTCACTTAAGAAGGTAATAAGGTGTCATC